TTTAATTAATTTTTCTAGTTATATTCTATATAGTCTTCATATAGTCATAATTAATTTTTCTAGTCATATTCAATATAATCTTCATAAAGTCATATAATTAATTTCTCTAGTTTTTATAGTCTTCATATAGTCATATAATTAATTTTTCTCGTCATATTCTAAGTATTCTTCATGTGGTGACAAAAATTCTTGTTGACTAACATCGTCACTTGACTAACATTTACTTAAATTGCACTTGACATAATTTTTGTCATTTCTTAATATATTTGTAATCAAAACTAAATATTGCAAGGACAATTTATGGCAAGCGTAATTTATAAAAGGTGTTATTTATGGCCGCAGATGTAAGTATGGGAATTGTGATAATGGGAAATGAACATAAAGAAAATGTAATCATGGCCAAATATAGTTATGGAAATGTAATTATAGTATATGTGATTATGTAAAATGTGTTTATGGAAATGTAATTATTGTTTATGTAATTATGTAAAATGCATTTATGAAAATGTAATTGTAGTATATGCAATTATGTAAAACGTTTTGATGAAAATGTAATTATAGCATATGTGATTATATAAAATGTATTTATGAAAATGTAATTAAAGTATATGCAATTATGTAAAATGTATTTATAGAAATGTACTTATAGTATATGTAATTACGTTAAATGTATTTATGGAAATGTAATTGTAGTATATGTAATTATGTAAAAATGTATTTATAAAAATGTAATCAAAGTATATGCAATAATGTAAGATGTTACATAATGACAGCAGAATAAAATAAGATTTTTGTGACATCACTAGTAGAACTTTGCGACATCATAGCTCCTACAGTTTTGATTTTACGCAACAGCATGAGAAAAGTACATTCATTTTGTTGCATGTTAGTATTTTTCTTTTCTCAATAGCTATACACATTTCAAATTTTGAAAAAACTTATTGATTTTGAAAAAAAATCGATTTTTAGCCTGTGTTACCCCCCAGGGTAACCATGGATTCCCTCAAAAAAGGTCAGCTCATTTGGCCAGCCATTGCTAACATATATATACTAACAAATATAATCAATTTATTATTCAAACATTCTCATTAATCCTCATAAATTTATTATTTAAGCTGTACTTATCCAAGTTTAGAGTACTATGGTACACCTGGAATACCTGGATACTAACAAATATATATTTGAGTGAATTCAACCTTACGTATAGTTTCACCGTGATCGGGTCCGTACTTAATAAGTCTTCCAAAGAATTAATAATATAAAAAAAGAAGACCTTCATGAGTTCTTTTCTTAATATTTCCAGAATTGTTTTTATGATTTAGGCTTTATCTGGTCAAATGTGTTTCCATCAAAAACAAATATCTTGCAAAGTACACTTGTGTATAGTACATTTTAATAGTACCTTTTCAAGTCAGATAAAACTCACAATTCGAATCTGCCCCACTAAATTTTGGGATAAAATAGATGCATATGGGTTGGAAAGTTACGACTATTTAATTCACCAAACACCCCCTAAAAATGTACAAAAAAATGAGAAGAAGAAGGTATAATCTAGGCGATATCACTGCTACTATGATTTGTAACCTCGTTGCTAAGTATGAGACAATCAACTTTTTTGAATAAATCTAAACAGTTTGTTTTTAACCTTTGTGACAGAAACAATCTCAAGGAATAATAATTGTCTTAAATATTTTTTTAAAGGTGAATATTTGCAAATTATCTTTTTTCCATCTCATAATCTGAGTTCGTTTCCCTTATGTTCATTTGACAACCCAATTTTTTTTAAATAATCTTTTTTTTCTGTTTATTTTCTTGTGGTTTTTAACAATTTTTTAGTTTTTTTTTTATCGATTTTGATGGTTATTATATCGCTTGAACTGACGAGGGTCAACCCAGACCGAAATATATTTTTAAGAAATGTTGAACTAACATCTACATAAGAGGAGTTATGATTAAAAGCATATAAAATTTCAATTTTATATATAATTTACTTTAGTTTAACGTGAAGTTTACTTTGAGAAATGTGTGACAAAAAATGAAAAAGAACAAATTATGATGTGGTTTTAAATGTGCAAAAGAATCACTTTAAGACGACACTAATTACACAATTATGCTCCTTGAAGCACACGTGTCGCGTGTTCGAGCGCCAGCACGCCTGATGTTCACACGGTGACAGTAATATTCCAACTGATTTGGTTTCTCCAGGGTTTGCAGGATACTTTTCACGGATAGTATCGGGCAGATCAGATTATCAGAGGAGCTCCGCGGCAACAAAATACAAAGAGGGAAAATAAGAGTTTCCCCTCGGTATAAAAATTGTCAGTCTTAAATTAGGCCTGTAATGGAGTAAAAAATGTAATTTCTTTCATGCGTAACATCACAAGAATACTGTATGTTTCCTGGACCATCCGCTACAATGTTTTTAACTTCTAAAATGCTCACTTTCAAATTTTTGTCAAGGTGAAAAAAATCCATATTTGATTAAAGATTCAAATATAAAAAATATTTTCAATTTTACTATTTTACTAATAGTAGTTCCATGGCCCAAAAAGGTAATTGACTTCAAATGTGTGAAGTACGCCTACAGTAAGGTGGCAGCACAACAAAATGTTAGTTTTACACAAGAAATATAGGAACCGCCATATCTCATGCGTCAAATCCGTGTACTGCAGTGGGAGGAGATCAAAACAAAGAATTCAGGGACAACGCATCATTTTTAAGGGAAAAGGGCCCAAGGGGGGAAATAAAAGTATAATACTATTGTATTTTCCATATTGACCAGAAAGCCAAAATCATAAGTATTCGCCCTAGCTTAATATATTAACTTGTTTTTTGTTGGACTGTAATATCATATCAGAATATTTTCAATTTTACTATTTTACTAAAAGTAGTTCCAGGGACCAAAAAAGGTGATTCACTACAAATGTGTGAAGTACGCCTGCAGTACGGTGGCAGCACAACAAAAGGATAGTTTTACACAAGAAATATATAGACCAGGAACCGCCATATCTCTGCGTCAAATCCGTGTACTGCAGTGGGAGGAGATCAAAACAAAGAATTCAGGGGCAACGCAAGTAATATATTTACTTGTTTTTGTTGGCCTTTAATATCACATCAGAGCTTTAGTCCTTTCCCTTCAACTTCTGTGGGGGGCACTGGGTTTGTTTACATTCCTCCCACAGTGTACAGCACACAATTTGCGTTTATCTGAGTTGGGCGTTCCTGTATGTAGTTCAAAGAGAATATAGAATATATATTAGAGTGGAATTTAGACAATCCCTTGGTTTGAATTTTGTCAGTCCCTTTCAGCTTGAAAGGGAGTTCAAAGTGTACAAATCATGTATATGTTCACAAATTATATGCAGTAGAGTACATTAATACAGTATATTCTCTAGACTATCCATTTCAATTTCGAATTTTGAAAGCTGTTAAATAAACTTTATAGAATGAATTAGGTGAATAAAAACCATCGTTTGTAAAGTGAAAGGCATAGAGTCTATGTGAAATGATCATTGGTCAATATATGAAACCAGCCAATTTCATAATTTGGTTTTCTTAATATTAATTTTAGATTTTCTATAAAATGATGTTTCAGGGCCCAAAAGGTTTTATAGCGCAAATATGTGAAGTACACCTGCAGTATGGAAAAAGTACAACAAAATGGCCGTTTTACACTTTTAATAAAATTCCACTCTAATATATATTCTATTCTCTATGTTTACATGTGTTCCCGGACAAAAGTAGCATAAGTATCAGACAAAATAAAATTCGTCACCTAAATCACATGTTAATTGAATCACCCTTTACAAACATTTTACAGTTTATCTTATTTGTTAGAATTCTGGCTATTTTGCACATTTTTAACATTTTTAACATCAAATAGTTTAATGGATTTTTTATATTTGTAACTCTTAAATGAAGGGTCTTCTAGAATTAGATCGAGTGTTACCTTAAAATCTGTTTTCTATTTAAAAGTGTGTGTCTGCTAGTTTATATTGTGTCGCCTGTAATGACAAATTGTAGTTAATATGACCGTAGGCGAGGAAAACATTTGTTTAAATGAACTCAAGATATTTGTTTAATCCAGATATATATGCAACTAGGGGCTATAGGGTAGGCAATAGTCCAGTACTAGATCCCCCCTCCTCCCCCCCTCTCTTTACACTCTTTCATACTCCTCTTACACTTCCCCCCCCACATCATCTTCCATAGAAGTTATATAGGAAAGTGAAGTTATATAGGAAAGTGAAGTTATATAGGAAAGTGAAGTTATATAGGGGAAAGTAGGTGTAATAAAGAAATATAAAGGAAAGGGATGAAAGGGGAAGGAGGAGGAAGTAGAAATAAGGCAGGAAGGAAGGAAGGAAGGTGAAATGATGAAAGGAGAAGAAGAAGGAGGGAAGAATAAAGAATGAGAAATGATGAAAGGAGAAGAAGAAGAAGAAGAAGAAGGGAGGAATAAGGAAGGAAGGAAGGAAGGAAGGAAGAAAGAAAAGTGAAATGATGAAAGGAAAAGAAAAGAAGAAGAAGGAGAAAAAGGAGGAATATGGAAGGAAGGAAGAATGGAAAGGGGAAGAGAAAGAGGGGAAGGGGAGGAAAAAGTAAGGGAAAGGGGAAAGAGGGAGAGGGGGGAAGGGAGGGGAAGGATATCTGGATTGGTACATACTTAAGAGAATGGAGGAAGTTGTATCTGGATTGATACAGACTTAAAGAACTTTTGGAGTAAGGCATTTTTTACACATATTACAAACAATAATATTTATAACCAATAAATAAAAAAATAAAAAGAGATTATTTTTTATTTACATAAATACACGTTTACACAGCATTATATTTATAAATTTATTTACTTAATTTTACTTTTTATCACATCAATTGTTTTTAGCGATTAAAAAATGAAATGATATTTTAAACTTTTGTTGGCCTAAAACGTTACGTTTTTCTGACAAATTTTGCATTTTTCATAAGTGTAATATTTAGCTCTTTAGTTTTAATTTTACTTAATCAAATATTTGTTTTTATTACTTTTTTACGGCTTCAATACAAATGAACATAATTTTGACATTTAAAATTTGTCCTTAGCAGATTATTACAACATTTATGTAGTTTAGCACAGAGGTATTAGATGGATACAAAAGTATAGAAGCTACCACAATATGGATACAACAGTGGTGATAAATAGATACAAAATTGATATTTTTAACTACAGTGGTGTTAGATACATACAACATTGATATAGTTAACCACAGTGGTGTTAGATAGATACAACATTGATACAGTTAACTACAGTGGTGTTAGATAGATACAACATTAATATAGTTAACTATAGTGTTGTTAGACAGATACAACATCAATATAGTTAACCACAGTGGTGTTAGATAGTTACAACATTGATATAGTTAACCACAGTGGTGTTAGATAGTTACAACATTGATATAGTTAACCACAGTGGTATTAGATAGAAACAACATTAATATAGTTAACTATAGTGGTGTTATGTAGATACAACATTGATATAGTTAACTATAGTGGTGTTAGACAGATAAAACATTAATATAGGTAACCACAGTGGTGTTAGATGGATACAACATAAGTAAAAATAACCGCAACCCCAGTATGCAAATTCTTTTATTTAGCAAATATCGATGAGGGTTCATTTTCAATTTTTATTTCTGGTTTCAAAATCGAAAATTGAAAAATCTACATCCTGATATATGTTCACAGCCAAAATTTTGAATTTTATTTATAACTACTTTAAAGAGAATTTTACTGGTTGTACATAATTTGATCGTTTCTTTCGCAAATAAATAGGCAGAGGGGGGATGTTATTTTACTTAATAGAGATAACTAAGTAGCATTCACTGTTTGAGGAATGACGAGTGGGTATATATACTATTTGTTGGTCAATAAACATTTTTGGAAAAATCTTATTTTGTATTTTCAATTTACATTTACAAAAATAACGTTTAGCTATTCCTATTATTCAGTCCTTGATTCATTATTCAAAGATTTTATCACATCAAATTTATCAGAGGTTTCGATAGTTTGAACACAATCTATCAGAGGTTTCGATAGTTTGAACACAATCTATCAGAGGTTTCGATAGTTTGAACACAACGACAGAATTTCTTCATACTTCGTATGCTTAAAGATAGGTTGTGGCCGTCTGTGGGGTTATGACCGTTGGATTCCCATTGGATCTGCTTGTTGTGGGAGCAGAGCGGTTGTTCATGTTTTGAAGATGCACAACCCGATGGATGGTTTGAGATCTGGATCTTGTGATCAGCAGACTATTGAAAAACTAAAACAAAATTTATCATAACTCATGAACCCATTTACCGATTTGCCTCAAATTTGATTGGGGAACTTGGGAGAAACATGGAAATGTCATTAACGTGGTTTCGAGTCGATCAACTTTAAAATTTAGTTACCCTGTTCCCTGGACCAAGGGCGGGAGTAACTATAAGAAACCTGGGCAACCCTGGGTTCCCAAGGAGTAACTATAAGTAACCTGGGCAACGCTGGGTTCCCAAGGAGTAACTATAAGTAACCTGGGCAACGCTGGGTTCCCAAGGAGTAACTATAAGTAACCTGGGTAAAGCTGGGTTCCCAAGGAGTAACTATAAGTAACCTGGGTAAAGCTGGGTTCCCAAGCTAGTCCAACATAAAATGAAAAATTTCAAAAAATCTGAAAGGTGATTCAGGACTTTGTTATTTATAAAGTGAAGGGAAATACAGTGAGGACCGGAAACAGTTGAAAAGGAAGACGACATTTAACGAACAAGTTTAAAAAATTAACTGATTAAGTGAAATGGGTCTGCGTAAACTGTACAATTGTTGTTTGTCCTGTTCATTAGGCTTTTTAAAATCAAAATATAGGCCTTAAAGTCGTCTTCCTATTATGTAGATGTTTGGTTCTCACTCTAACATTTTTTGTTTCAATTGCAAAACTTGGAAATTTTAAAGTTTTTTTTTTACTTGTTTGTAGTTGTTGTTGAAGAACCCGTAGATGATCGGGTTTGAGCAGGAGGTACTCATCGCGCACAGGTGGCAGAATGAGTACATCAGAGTCACAAGCTCACCATTCTGGATAAAAACATTAGATTAAATATTGTATTCAAACATCTCTTGTCTTCGTCTTATATATAAATACAATGAAGACGACTTTCGATTTAATTTTTTTATTTCAACCAAGTATGGATCAAGGAGTATGGAAAAGAAAGGGAGATCAACTGACACGGCCTGCCCTACCATATGATTATGCATTCTTTGCAGACGGTACTCCATTTGTAAAAGAAATATTCAGAATAGGTTATTTTATACGCGGTAATTGTACATCAGACAAATCATGTGGTAGGGCGGGCCACGTCAGTTGTATCTCCCTTCTATTCCTTACTCCCTGGTATGGATACACATAAGCATGGAAACAAAGAGAAGCGGCAACCAATTAACAGCTGTTCTCTTAGTTTGCTTTTAAATGTAAGAAAATATTTGCTGAAATCCCCGAAATTCCGAAGAAAACAGAAAGAAATAAAGATTACCTTGGCAAGCTGCGGGAAGATGGCGAGGGAGAGGTTGAAGATGTTGAGGGGGAGCCACGACAGGAAGAATACAACGCTTGCGCTGATCAGAAGCCGGTTAGTTTTCAGTCTTCGTTCCATTTTCCTAAAAAGTTTAATTAAAAATCTGATTGAATTCAATGTTTTCTGTAATAATTAACGTATTTTTAAACAAATTTTTAAAAATATATTGTATGTGCCACTATAAGGGTTATTTTTATCTATTAATTAAAAATTGATTATAAAATGAATGTACTTTTAAACCTTTTATCATTCCTTTGCAAGGCTCTAGTGGATATAACTCAACTCATACACTTATCAATGCACCAACTCATTAACTCATCAACTCATCAACTTTTCAGCTCATTAACTCATCAACTCATCAACTCATCAACTTACCTTCTACTGATAAAACTATTGGGCCGACGAGTCTCAGATCTTGATTGTGAATTCTTGAATTTCCGGCAGATACTGAAATATCAAAAATAGGTATTTTATGGAATTCATAAAACTTATATTTTCCCGACAATCAGCAAGAATTCCGAAATATACTTCTTCAGATAAAGGAATTAAGTTTTTGCCACAAACTAACATTTTAAAATCCCTATATCTTTGCAACCAAATGGTGCTCACCTTTGATACTTTAAACTTCGAATACTGACAGAATTCATAATTTTAAATATCAAATTTCTACAACATCAGGTATCAGAGATATAGTAATTAATAATCAGATCCTGCATGGATCCCAAACTTTCTTTTATACTTAAATTGATATTTCCGGCGCCAAGATATGAAATTAAAGTTTGTATGAAAAAGGAAATTGCCAAAAAGAGAGCTGCAGCTCTGGGAAATATGCGTAATATTGGGAGAAACAAAAGCAGGAATATGTGTCAAAATGCATATCTCCTTTGTCTACAAGGGATTAGAATGCGTAGATCTACTTAAGAGGAATTCAGAAAACAGATGTATGATCCGCTAAAAAGAAGATAATAAATTTACTAGTCTTTTTTAAAAAAATTTGTAAGAATTAAAATTAAAAAAAACAAATGTTAAACTTTTTTTTTCTTCTACTTTTTAGATTTATTATACGCCTGCTAGATTATATTTTACATAAAAAATGTAAAGGCTGTTTTTGATGATCGTTGAATAGGGACAACTTGATTTTGTTTTATTTGGGATTTTTTCATTTTGCTATTAAAAACAAATGCTAAACTATAGTTTACTAAGACGATTTTGAAATAATCACTGAAATCGAGGGAGACGACATTAACGCAATAATTAAGTGTATTTGATGTTGAATTACAAAACAAATAGTTTTACTATTTAACGCATTAAATCACTTATTAAGATAAATGGGCCTGTAATTACATGCCTTATAATTTCATGTATTTCATTTTCATTGGACTGCTCAAACTTCAAACGTCGTCTTCCTGTGCCAGAGTTTTCTGGTTCTCACTATACTAAGTGAATAACTGCTACCTAAGGTATATACGGAGGATGATGAGGGAGGGAAGGAGGTATTGAAGAACAAAGCAGGAGACAGTGAACACAATCCTGGCACCGTTGTTCACCCAAGTCTAGAAGTTTAAAGTTTCAAACATGTGTTCCATTATCCGATTAGGTCCAAAAGCCTGTTTGCTCCATATAGATGAATTGATTTATTAATTGATTAATTGAATAGCTTTGACAATAATACTGTTCAGAGCTAGATCAAATTTTCTTTAACTATAAAATATTTTAATTGATTTCTTTTAATTGAAAGAAAAAATGGATGAGAGCTTGAAAAATTATTTACCTCGTGACAGAGCTTGATCCCCTTGATGACCACCATGAGGTCGGTGTGGAAGAACAAGGGCAGAGAGATCAAGTAGGAGAAGAAGAAGGAGAACACAGAGATGATCAAGGCCTAGAGAACATACAAAAATTAACAATCTATATAAAAAATAGTTTTCCAGGATAAAAGCTGTAGCTGACCAAACAGCTGAACCAAATTAGCTGATTTTTTTTTCGAGGAATCCCATGGGTAACTTTGGATTGTCAAAGGCTAGAGAAATTCGATTTTTTTCTTCAAAATTCAAACAAACCCCCCCCCTCTCCCTTCCATCTTAAATTTCTCAATAATCATACACAATTTAAAAAATAAAATATATAGGTACGTTAGGTATCCATTTAAGAAGGAAAGGAAAGGAGCCGTGCACTGCGGCTAGGAGAGGCCAGGGGCCGAGCAATGCGAGGAGATGCCAGGAGCCAAGCACTACGGCTTGGAGAGGCAAGGGGCTGAGCAATGCAAAGAGAGGCTGTGGGCAAAATGCTCGAGAGTCGAGACCAAATAGATTCTAATACAATAGATGGCAACATAGAATGTGTACACTCTCAGTACATCTGTATTCTTACGTCACAAGCGTCAACTCAGTTTTTGTGTCTGACAAAATTATCAAAAGTAGTGATATTTTTAGAATAAAGTGCTTATTTTACAATAAAATTAGTGCACCTTTATGTGATCTTTATTTTCTGTTTTTACGCTTTTTTATTTTATCTTGGAAAACATGTCAAATAATGTAAGAAAATTTTGGTTTCCTTGTTATATTTGACACTTGTGACGTCGTGTATAAATGGTCCATTTCTCTGTTGCCACAGCTATTGTACTTGATAATCCATTTGGTCGGGACAACTTTACCTACACTTTACCATGACTCGGTGAAGATTTAACGCTAAGAATTTATAATTTGTGCAGACTGACCTGAAGGCTTGAAATTCTGATGTTGCAGGGTTTGATGATATAGAAGAACCTATCCAATGCTATCAGTAGAACAGAGTAGGTGGAGAAGAATACACAGGTAGACTGTAGAGTTCCAATAGATTTACACAGCAAAGCCTAGATACAAAGAGAATAGATTATAAAATATACATAGAGTGTAATTTACTCAAAAAAAGTGTAAAACGGCCATTTTGTTGTACTGTTTCCATACTACAGGTGTACTTCACACATTTGTGCCAAATAATCTTTTGGGCCCTGGAACATCATTTTATAGAAAGTTTTCTTGAAAATTATTTGATTTGATCAATTCTCTGATAGCCTGTCATGCATTCCCGAGTTCATTTCAGCATTAGTTTCGAAAAACATCAATTTGATGTTTTCATTTAGTAAAAAACATATTTTTTAATTGAGGTAATCAAACAGTAAAACTAATATTTTTGAAATACTCAAGATACCAAAATATTAAAACTATAGTCTGTATGTGTACTGGACAGCTTGCCCTAATTGCTTCACAGTACACTCCAGTTCATTTTATGTACCGGGCCGAATTTCAACTAGTCAGAGCAAACTGTACATTACTATATAAGGCAAAACGGGACGGTATGCCAAATGAATGGTCCCCTTCTTTGGAAATCTATGTGGCTTAAAAGTTGGCCCGGTACTTGAAATAGACCGGAGTTTGCTGTGTTGTGAGACATATTTTTATTTACAATGTTCTGCACCAAATCTACTCACCCTGGTGTTCCCCAGGACCCAGAAGGAATGGATTTGGTCAATGAGTGTGAGAGGCATCGCGACCACACACAGGAATATTCCTGATATAGCTGTATTCATCAGGAATATATTTCGGGGACATCCAGGCATCTGCAATATTTATTATATTAAGCTTTACTGTTTCTCTTTTAATTAGATAAATACTTTTACGTTTTCTTTCACAGATTTTCAAAGTTTATTAAGATTTAAATTGAAAAATATAGTTTAGACGAAAAATTCATCTGAAAGTTTAACAGGCAAAACGTTTAAATTATTTTAAAGGGGAAATGCACAAAATTATACTTGAAATACGACCAGGTTTTCGGGATAAAAATAATTGGCAACATCTGTGGATTTATAGTGCAGGGGTAGCCAGGAAAAATCTTGACGAAATTTATCAAATGTGTTTCTCATTGTAACTTTTCTAAGAGTTAAAGGGTACTATTGTGAATCACGATTGTACCTTACTGGAGAAGCATGCCCAGAGTATAAGAAGGTTGGATCCGAACCCTATCACCATCATCAAGGTGTACAGAAAGATCAAGATACCCTGCCACAAGGCCTGGATCCTAACAAACAATAAAAATAGAAAAAAAAGTTTAAAACTGCTATTTTGTTTTTCTGTTTGTTTGTGTTCAATAGATGACGAGACGAGACAGGAATTAAAAATTTTCCTAGAAAATAAAGACGTTTAAATTTTAAAAAAGAAGACAAAATTGCGGCTGTAAAGGACAAAATTTGAAGAAAAAAAATATTAATGAAGCACTTTAAAGTTACTTCCGAATATCAGATTGTCCGGTTTAGAAAAAATTTACTGTCTCATCTAAAATTCATTAAAAAAAAGTTTTTGACAAAATCCAAATATCCAAATAAATTAGTTTTTAACCTACCAGCTTTTTACGCACCTAAATTATGCGTTAATATCTATTTATTTTTAAATATTTAATTTACATTTTTTTCTTTTCATCTGTTCGGATATACATCAGAGCTGAAAACTTTATAATGAGACTTAATCCCGATTACTTAATCTGAGTATCCAATGGATACACTTTTGATTTTCTTCTTAAACCGTTCTTTCTTTCTGTATATTAATCATAAATTGCGCGCAAAATTTCAAATTTATCGGCTTAATATACGCAACTCTGATTGGTTGAATTTTATACACTTTTTAGGGTGTAGAAGATTAGGTTAGTCTCAATATTAAGAAAAAGAGAGTATCAAGCATTAATCTCGATATCCACCATTCTAAAGTTTTCAGCTCAGGTTATAAAAGAGAATTTTTTTTAACGCCCCTAGGAAGGATCCTCCTTTTTACTTCTCATCTCATAAAAAAAAATAATTAAGTGAACTACCGTTTTAATCTTATATGATGACGGACACATCTTGACACTTTTGCTAATATCGAACAAAAATTAAAGCTTTTCGATTATTTGCTTTCGCACACGTTATCATAATCGAATATGTGACCCTCCATGCAAAGATTTCAACGCTCGATTTTCATACAGGGTTACTTAAAATACGCTTAATGGCACTTCAAAGACGATTTAAAAGTCGCCATCAAATTATAAAGACATCCTGCTTTGTATAGTGTGATCAGTATAAGATGTCTGTGCGACATTACAAACAAAAATATTATTTTTTTACTTTTTTATGTCGAGCAGAAGTTCGAAACCACTCTCCGAGCCAATTAAGCCAATACTGTTTTCACTTTCGTATTCACTGCAATAAAAACTATTAGAACAATAATGCGATATTTTAAATATGAATGGATGTAGGAAGACACATATAAAATGATTAAAAGTCCCCACACACCTCCTGAATAAGAGCAACGCCCCTTATTATTGCAATTCCTAGTTAGGTTAGGTTAAGATAGATGGATAGCCTCGGTTACGTTAGGTTTGTTCTTTCTCGCGATAAATTTAGAAAAAAATTACTGATGTTTACTGACAAAGGGTTTGTTATCGTTTTTTTAAGGTATTTGGTTCCCGTCATGTAAGTGAAAACTCCGGTACATTCGAAGTACAGGACCAACTCTAGTAGACAGCTAGAACAAGTTGTACACTGTACAGTACAGGACCTACTCTAGTAGACAGCTAGAACAAGTTGTACACTGTACAGTACAGGACCGACTCTAGGCAGCTGGAACAAGTTGTAGACTGTACAGTACATATTCCCGGCAAAAGGGACAGTTCATAAATAAATAATTCCTTCTAGTGAGATTAATACGTTATGTTCCACTTACTTTGATTGATTGTTTAGATCTGAATCAATTACTCCGGTAAACCAGGTTTCATTCGCATTTAGCTCAGTTTTATTATGAGGGGAGATTATCGACTCACTTCCGAAATGCGCTTGCATCTATAAATATAAAGTAATAATCGCTGTGTGTCTGTTTGTCTGCTTTCTTGTTTGTATTCCGTACAGTCGTCTTTAAGTCTCACCATGTGTGTTTTTTCCTTTAATCAATCTCATAAAAAACTTTGTCAACGTTTTATACTTGTTATCTATATCTACATATATAAAGTTGTAATCTCTGTTTGTCTGTTTGTTTGTCTGTCCGTTAATAACTCAGGAATTCTTTGACCGATTTGTCTCAAATTTTGGTTGGGAAACTCGGGAGAACCACCAGAATTTTCTTAGCTTGATTTTGAGATTCTAAGTTGAGTGTGTCGACTTTTAAAGGGAAAATAGCTAAATTCGTAATTTAAGACCAAGCGCGGGTAAACAGCGGGAGAACCTCTGAGTTCCCTGGGCAAAGCTTCAATATCAACTATACCTCTTTCATCAGCTTAGCCAAAATCTTGTTTATTTCAGTCAATCTCGGCAAATCTATCTTTCGCTCTGATTCGTTCATTTTCAGATTTAATTCTAAAAAAAGATTTGATATTTAATGTGCGTTTACACAAATTTCCATCTAATAACGAAAGCTTATCATTAAGAGTTTCCTAGAATTCTGTGAAATTTTATTAAAGTTTTGAATATAAAAACTCCATCAAAACATTAATTAGTAAAATTAATTATTTCAAGTAAATGAAATATGCTAGACTTACATAAAGAGAAAAACTAGATCTTATAATAATGCTTTCATTCAAAATTAATCAAAAATTGCGTAAAAATGGCAATTTTCTAAAAGTTTACTAACTTATAAGAGGATCTCTAATTTTTAGGTGGTTCTGAATTGATACATAGCCTTGGCTTGGAGGGGGGGGGATGTTAGTCCTCCTCCCTACTTTCAAAAAAGTCCATAGAAACTGGAGGTTTTTTTTAAAGAACTTTTTTGAAAATATTGGCCATTCTACTTTGATTTGACTTAGGTAGTTTCTTATTGATAAAAAGTATGTCAAAAAATGCGTTTTTCTTTAATTTGCATTTAACATTTGTATTGTTTTTCAAGGATTCTATACAATGTTAGGGATATTTTCAATTGTTTTAATCACCAATGTGCTCTAGAGATTAAAGAAAAAATTAATATTTTTTCAAAGTCAAAATTTTGCAAGGTGAGGATTTTTTTCAATCTTAAAAGTCAAGAAATTTCACTGAGAATAATTTCTTTAACTATTTAAGTCAAGATGTTATCTTAAACTTTTTTCAAGAAACTTGACTTTTAGTCAAGAATTTTTAAAAGTTTCAATGGAATAATTTTTTAACTCAGGTTTAGTTTCAAGGTGAAAGTTTTCTTTTCTTGTAAATCAGGAATCAAAATTCATTCATAGTGAATCTAATTCAAAACATTTTTTTTTGCAAATTAGACTGTGAAATGTATTTTTTGGGTGGTGAAATGTACAGAAAGTATTGAGAAAATGCGCAAAAAGAGATGAAAACAAATATAAAATCTGTTAAAGTTATTATTCACGTTCACATAACATTACGCAAATAATACCTATACTTCAAATAACTTTTAAAAAAAACTTCATTTTAAGATGCAATATTTTGTGAAGGGATAGTGACTCCAGAGCCCGCGATTTAAAAACTTCGGCTCGAGTCGTAATTCCTTAAACCCGACTTTAAGACCCAATCTTCGGCCCAACTCTGACTGTCACGTGATTGACAGCTGCGAGATCTTAGGCTCGACTTAAGGAGTTAAGCCCAATGAAAATAAAACCGACCTTGATTGGTTTTAGTGAAGAATAAGGCTCAATGTTGGGTCTTCTTCTCATCAAAACCCGGAATGCGCCAATTCCAACTATGAAAATCCGCCAAATACAAAATTAAACCGGTATTATGAACTAAACTCTGTTGAAAATTAGATGCAACTTAAATCCGAAAGCCCGAGCCGTAAATAAGGCTCAACAACAGCTTAGACCCGAGTCGTATTTTCTTGAATTTTTTAAATCGCCGGCTCAGGAGAGGATTTTAATTCGATCTGTATTAGGTTTAGGGTTCACGCACCTCTGCCCCTTTAGTAAAAGTAAATTCAACCTATATGAAGCATAAAGTCTGACCGCGTCAACATTGTTACACTGGCTAGTCCTGTCCATTAGAGCTAGGTACAGTACAAACTGGGACCGGAAAAGTTTACCCGGCTCGGAAATTCAAATGTACTACGGCTGCATAGTGCATAGTGTATACCCGGACTAGGTTTAAAGAAGATCTTTGTGTGTATAATCTATACCCGAAGTATGTTTAAAGAAGATCTCCGTGTGTATTGTGTATACCCAGATTAGGTTTAAAGAAGATCTTCGTGTGTATAATGTATACCCCAAGGAGGTTTAAATTTAGATCTCCGTGTGTATAGTGTATACCTAGATTAGGTTTAAAGAATATCTCCGTTTGTATAGTTTATTACCCGGAGAAGTGTTATAGAATATCTCCGTGTGTATAGTGTATACCCGGAGAAGGGATAAAGAAGATCTCCGTGTGTGTATTGTATACCAGGAGTAGGTTTAAAGAATTACTATGTGTGTTTAGTGTATACCCGGAGGAGTGTTAAAGAAGAACTTGGTGTGTCTAGTGTATACCCGGAGAAGGTTTTAAAACAAGTTCTCCGTGTGTAGTGTGTAGAGTGTATATCCGGAGAAGGTTTGAAGAAGACGGATGCTTAATTATTGTCCTCCTTCTTCTCTCATACCGAGGAACACAGAGCATATCTGGAACCAGATGAGTGAGAGAAAAGAGAGAAAAGAGAGAAAAGAAAGAAAGGAGAGAAAAGAAAGAAAAGAGAGAAAAAAATTATGGCTTCACCCGAATTGAATTTGGAATCAAATGATATTAATTTTTTTCCATCTGATTTCTAAGTCATGAGAAAAATTTTAAAATAAACATTTGTCGCTGCAGACAGTATGTTGAACTGATGTGCCTTCAGTTGGTTCGTTTTTGGCTCGTTTTTAGCCTATATTTTCTTTCAGGGTCTGATAATCGAAAATGTTTTTAACTTGTTTATTCCAAACATTTGTTTTTGTTTATGCAAATAAAATGACCCAAAAATGACGAAAAAAAAACTCGTGTTGAAACGATCGTTTTTCCATTTGTTTAGGATAAAGATGCTTAATAAAGTTTAAAGGGAGTGACCGGCTATGTAAGGTAGTTGAACTGAGTAGTCAGTATGCAGTGTTGTGGAGAACTTCTGTCGGATTCATTTGAGACATATTAAACTTTTTAAAGATTTGTAAATTCTGAGTTTGAGCTCAAATTCGACGTTCAAAACTCCTACTTTGGGGGTGGATACGTTTTCAGAATTAGTTTTTTTTTAATTATTAAATAAAGACAACAAAAAATAAAGTAAAAATTATACAGTAATCTAATAAGATGGTTAGGAACATATTTCTCAAAAGAAATTTGTCAATGAATCAATGCTAAAATCGATAATTTCGTTTTCATTTTTCATTATTATATTGAATTTCTTATCTTCTTTGAATGTATTCACAGATTTCTTCAAATTCTTCAAATGTCGTCTTTTCAATAATAATTCTAGAAAATCTGCTAAAATCTTTGTGAATAATGAGAAACCAGAATAATGAGAAAATAGAAACTAATAATTGAACAAGATTACTTATTTTCGATAATAAGATTAACTTTTCAACATGTTCCTATACATGACGTCTGTAGTTTATTGTAGAACTTTTTTACATTTTTTGTAAAGAAGTTTTCCACAACACTGCATACTCAGTTCAACTACCTTACATAGCCGGTCACTCCCTTTAATAAAAGCAAACTTTAACATAACACAGTTTTTTTTGCATCCGATTCACGTCCTTTAGAATATTAAAGTTTTTTTTACAAACAACTATTTATCACAAATAATGTATAAACATATTTCATATTCTTCAATGGAATTAAGAAAGAATGAAGGAAATACTTTTTTAGTTAGATAGATAGATAGATAGATAGATAGATAGATAGATAGATAGATAGATAGATAGATAGATAGATAGATAGATAGATAGATAGATAGATAGATAGATAGATAGATAGATAGATAGATAGATAGATAGATAGATAGATGGATAGATAGATATATAGATAGATATTTATGAAAAACTAGAAGATACATAGATAGATATATGTGAATATATTGGATATTATTTGTAAGAAGAAAGTAAGAAAGGAAAGGCTCCCACAGATGAGTTTCTGCTATACTGTATTGTACACAGTATAAACTATAGCACATAGTATACGTTTGGACATCCAGGGGATACTTTCCATGCTATTCTTCTTTATACAGTATCCTGGATACAGTATTCCTGTATCCTGTATGCATTATTTTTACACAGTATTCCTGTATTCTTTATACAGTATTCCTGTATCCTGTATGCAGCATTCTTGTATTCTTTATACAGTATTCCTGTATTTTTTATGTAGTATTCCTGTATTCTGTTTACAGTACTTCTTGTACTTTCCATGATAATCTTCCGTATTCCTGTATCACTTATACACAATATTCCTACAGTATATTCATGTATTCTTTATAGTTTTTACAGTATTCATGCATTCTTTCTACAGTATTCCTGTATCTTTAATGCAGTATATTCCTGTATTCTTTAAACAGTATTCCTGTATCTTTTATACAGTATATTCCTGTATTCTTTAAACAGTATTCCTGCATCTTTTATACAGTATATTCCTGTATTCTTTAAACAGTATTCCTGTAGTTTTTATACAGTATATTCCTGTATTCTTTAAACAGTATTCCTGTATCTTTTATACAGTTTATTCCTGTATTCTTTAAACAGTATTCCTGTATCTTTTATACAGTATATTCCTGTATGCTTTTTAAAGTACTAGAAATTCAAGGCGCTTCGCGCCCTTCTTTCTAGCCTTAGAGGGCGCTTCGCGCCCATCTTCTAAATTAATTGTGAACATGTTCTCTTTGTGTACATCGTAAAACAAAACAAAAATAATTCGCGGATTTTATTATAAAGTATTCCTGTATCTTTTATACAGTATATTCCTGTATTCTTTAAAAAGTATTTCTGTATCTTTTATACAGTTTATTCCCGTATTCTTTAAACAGTATTCCTGTATCTTTTATACAATTTATTCTTGTATTCTTTAAACAGTATTCCTGCATCTTTTATACAGTATATTCCTGTATGCTTTATAAAGTATTCCTGTATCTTTCATACAGTATATTCCTGTATTCTTTAAACAGTATTCCTGCATCTTTTATACATATATTCCTGTATTCTTTATAAAGTATTCCTGTATCTTTTATACAGTATATTCCTGTATTCTTTAAACAGTATTCCTCTATCTTTTATACAGTTTATTCCTGTATTCTTTAAACAGTATTCCTGTATCTTTTATACAGTATATTCCTTTATTTTTTAAACAGTATTCCTGTACCTTTTATACAGTATATTCCTGTATTCTTTATAAAGTATTCCTGTATCTTTTATACAGTATATTCCTGTATTCTTTAAAAAGTATTTCTGTATCTTTTATACAGTTTATTCCCGTATTCTTTATAAAGTATTCCTGTATCTTTTATACAGTATATTCCTGTATTCTTTAAACAGTATTCCTGTATCTTTTATACAGTATATTCCTTTATTCTTTATACAGTATTCCTATATCTTTTATACAGTATATTCCTGTATTCTTTATACAGTATTCCTGTATCTTTTATACAGTATATTCCTTTATTCTTTAAACTGTATTCCTGTATCTTTTATACAGTGTATTCCTGTATTCTTTAAACAGTATTCCTGTATCTTTTATACAGTATACTCCTGTATGCTTTATAAAGTATTCCTGTATCTTTTATACAGTATATTCCTTTATTCTTTAAACTGTATTCCTGTATGTTTTATACAGTATATTCCTGTATTCTTTATACAGTATTCCTGTATCTTTTATACAGTATATTCCTGTATTCTTTATACAGTATTCCTGTATCTTTTATACAGTATATTCCTGTATGCTTTATACAGTATTCCTGTATCTTTTACACAGTATATTCCTTTATTCTTTAACTGTATTCCTGTATCTTTTATACAGTTTATTCCTGTATTCTTTAAACAGTATTCCTGTATCTTTTATACAGTATATTCCTTTATTCTTTAAACTGTATTCCTGTATCTTTTATACAGTTTATTCCTGTATTCTTTAAACAGTATTCCTGTATCTTTTATACAGTATATTCCTATATTCTTTAAACAGTATTCCTGTATCTTTTATACAGTATATTCCTTTATTCTTTAAACGGTATTCCTGTATCTTTTATACAGTATATTCCTGTATTCTTTAAACAGTATTCCTGTATCGTTTATACAGTTTATTCCCGTATTCTTTAAACAGTATTCCTGTATCTTTTATACAGTTTATTTCCGTATTCTTTAAACAGTATTCTTGTATCTTTTATACAGTTTATTCCTGTATTCTTTAAACAGTATTCCTGTATCTTTTATACAGTATATTCCTGTATTCTTTAAACAGTATTCCTGTATCGTTTATACAGTTTATTCCCGTATTCTTTAAACAGTATTCCTGTATCTTTTATACAGTTTATTTCCGTATTCTTTAAACAGTATTCCTGTATCTTTTATACAGTATATTCCTTTATTCTTTATACAGTATTCTTGTATCTTTTATACAGTTTATTATCGTATTCTTTAAACAGTATTCTTGTATCTTTTAAACAGTATATTCCTGTATTCTTTAAACAGTATTCCTGTATCTTTTATACAGTATATTCATGTATCTTTAAACCGCATTGAAAAGATCGGATAAGACATGTTTAAAAGGAGTCCTAATTTTAACCGACTCTCCGTTAAAATAGTGGTAAAATTGAATATTTAGTTTTACTATACATTTGAATTCTAAATTAATATTTATTGATGAATAATTTAATGAGCTGTTAAATGTTAGATGGAGCTATGTCCTGGAAGATATGTGGGAGAATCCTTCTCACCGTTCGTCATTGCTGAGATCGGTCAAAACCACCAGGGAGGATACTTTACTTTAGCTTCAAGCCTGATACAAGTAGAATTGTATTGTACATTTTATCTAGTATTCACAGCTGCAATTATTTCTATACAACTGTCTAGAGATTAGCATAGTTTTATTTTGAACTAACGAAATTTTTAAGAGTGAAAGAAATTTTTTCGTGAATAATGGTGTTGCTCAGGGGAAAAAAACCGAACGGGGAACGTGGTTCGTTCAGAGAAATACGATCGGAGAAATACGATCAGAGGATTAAGATCAGAGAAATTCGACCAGAGAAATACGATCAGAGAAATACGATCAGAGAAATAAGATCAGAGAAATTCGATCAGAGAAATTCGATCAGAGAAATACGATCAGAGAAATTCGATTAGAGAAATTCGATCAGAGAAATACGATCAGAGAAATTAGATCAGAGAAATTCGATCAGAGAAATTCGATCAGAGAAATACGATCAGAGAAATTCGATCAGAGATATTCGATCAGAGAAATACGATCAGAGAAATACGATCAGAGAAATACGATCAGAGAAATACGATCAGAGATATTCGATCAGAGAAAGACGATTGTTTTCAAAAACAAACAAAAAAAAACAAATGCTCATTAACGATTTCATTCGTTTTTTTATTGAACGAACTACCCTCCCTGGCGTGATTTCATTAATTGAATTAAAAATGTATCTTCCCTTTCCTCAAGTGGTCTCTGCTCCAGCTAACTAAAAGTACTGTTGGAAGCTTAAATTTTTTTTTAAATTTTAGACATTTATAGTTTACTTCGTACAATCTAAAAAAAATAACAAAAGAAATCGAGAACTTTTTTTCATGTTTTTTTATTTTACGAAAATCAATTTTGTTAAAACTTATTTTTGTATTTCTGAGCATACATAAACCTTCCCTGGGGATATTTGAGTTGTCTTAAAATTTTGCCGTTTTAACGTTTTTTGGATACAAACAAACACCCTGACAAGCAAAGTATATATTTATATTGTTTAACCCAAAAATTTTGAGACATCGAAAGCATCACTAAATTACAAAACTACAATAGTATATTCAGGTATAATAATATAAAACCCAATGAAAAACTGTCAAGACTACATTAAATAAATGATTTCGATGTCTCCGAAGGTTTGGGTAAAACTGTAGATTCCATAATTTGAGGAAGGTTAGATAAAGTATCTTCTCCAGGGTTGTATAAAGACTGCAAAGCAGATGATCCTAGCAGCTAAATCTGCTGGAGTTGATTGTGTCAAGTTCCAGAAATCTTCTTTAGGAAATTATACTAAATCATGCTTTTTATTAAATCTGGTAATCTGCACGTTTTAAAAGGACTGCAAGCGTAATTACAAAAAGATGTCAATGCCCGATTTACAACAGTGCCATTAAAAGAGCTTTGTCTGATCAATTATGAATTTTATATTCAAGTTTGTGTTTCTGTGACAAGTTCAATTAAAAAAACTTCAATTTTCATTGAACATCAGGTTAAACAGTTTTGTGAATCATGACGTTATATATACAAACTCTCCATATTATATTCAAGTCTAATGGTGGTTGTGGTAGGTTCTAAGTTCTCCAAGTCAGCACTAGAAGCTCCTTACCCTGGACCTAACTCATGGGGAGCCACGTATGGAGAACACAAACAGTTTTTAGAGTTCTCTGAATCTCAGTTTAAGGTACTTTTTATACCGGGTTACCCACAAAGAATGAGACTCCAGCGACGACTGTACGGAATGTATACTGTCTGTTTCTAATATTCATGTTTCCCTGCTACCGTAAACTTGAATTTTTTGCCAAATCAAATTTGATAAGCCATTAAAGGGCTATATTTGAGGTAGAAGGCTAAATTTGACCTTGGTCTTATAGTTTGCAGGTTTCAGGTCGTCATTATAGTCATCTCATCCTTTGTGAGTAACCCTGTACAGTAAAAACATATCGATCTATTACTAAAATATTAAGATCAGTTGGGCCTTTTATTTTTTCAAATATTTGTATCATATTAAATCTATTTAGTTAGTACAGGGTAACACACAAAGGATAAGACTATAAAGATGACATAAAACTCTTCTGATTCTTAATAGAAAATTGTAAATAAAAATTCTAGAAAAATAGAAATGAAAATTTTACGATTTTATTGTTTCTAAAAGATTACATTTGTATCCAAAAAAATAAGAAAACTAATTTGCTTAGTATTGAATTGAAAATGTAACAGAGTTGCCGACAAAGGATGAGGCTTCAAAGACGACTATACAGAATTTAAAATGTCTGTTTCCTTAAATGTATGATTCCGTATACAACTGTAAATTTGTTACTTTCTTTAACCAAGCATTAAAAATGTCATAAAAAAGACTTTATTCAAGGCAGAAGTCTTAAATCTACTTTGGAATCCTCACATCAGAAGAGTTTTATGTCATCTTTATAGTCTTATCCTTTGTGTGTTACCCTGTACTAACTAACTAGATTTAATATGATACAAATATTTGAAAAAATAAAAGGCCCAACTGTCTTAATATTGTAGTAATAGATCGATATGTTGTTAAAATTTTCATTTCTATTTTTCTAGAATTTTTATTTACAATTTTCTATTAAGAAATTCCGTTTAAGTCATCATTTTCTAATAGATTGTTACTTTCGAAGTCCAAACTTTAGAATTTAGCAATCAAAAAAAAATTTGTTCTGAAGTAATTTGTTTTGAAAATGAAAGGTAAGGCATATTTTTAAAAAGAGAAAAAATACCTTTACAGGTGAAAATATCTAATGAAGCGTTATAATTTCAATCCAATGCCCAATTTACAACGGTAACCCTGAAACCTTAATCTGATCAAAAATGTGGTTAAGATACCCTCGTTTTTCTGACTCGAAAAGTATTTGTTTCTGTGAGTTTCTACAATGCTTCTTATAAACAAGAAATGCGCAAGTCACTTTCGCAGAGAAACCTCAAATGAAAATATTTTAAACTTTTTAAAGAAACAAAAACATGGATATCTAATTCATTCATGATCAGACAAAGCTTTCAGGCGTACCGTTGTAAATCGGGCATTGACATCTTTACATGAAGGGTCACTTGAAATTACACTTACAGTCTCTTTAAAGGAGCTGCAAGAGTATGCTAGATCTGTGGATATACCGCTGACCGCCAGCTGTATGGACGAGGATTCTGCCAGCTTCCTTAATTCGGTCAATGTTCCATTCTTCAAGATCGGATCCGGGGATGTTAACAACATTCCTCTTATTGAAAAGGGTATTTATTATTAGTTGCATACAAATATAATTCTCATAATTTGAAAAACTTTCCTTGCATATTGGTAGCTAGATCTTTTTTTTGGAAATTGTTTGCTCCACTTTAGGTTGTTAGGACCTTAAAGGGTATGTAAACATAATTTCAAGTGACCCCCAGTACAAAGACGACAATGTCTGATTCACAACGGTACCCTTGAAAACTTTAACTGATTAATAATGTGGAAGATACAGTCGGTTATTTTAAAAATGTTTAACTTCGATTATTCCTTTATCTTTTCTCGCAGTAGAAATGCGCGAGTCACTTTTGTAAAGAATTCACAATCAAAAATATTTAGTTTTTTTTTCAAAAGTTGTGAATCGAGCATGACCATCTTTGTTTGTAGGGTCACTTGGAATTACGCTTTTTCAAATCGTTCTTTTTCAACTTGTTTATAAGGTTTCGCTTAATGGAAATATAAAATTATGTTTACGGGAAGCATTATTTAAAATTTACTAAATTCAAGTAAATATTGTTTAAGATCGCTGATATTTATCTCTAATCTGTTATGAAAAGGATATTATACATTTAAAGTAGAAAATTAAATAATTCTCAGTTTTGGAAGATTAGATCTGGGGGCCTGTGGAATATTAGATCTGGGGCTTGTGGAATATTTTCCAAACGGAATTGAGTCTTTGTCACACTCAGATTGCAACCGGATGGTTTAAACCTTTGATATTTCAACATTAGACTAATTTGATATAACAGATTTTATAGTTTTAAAATATCAAAAATTTTAATTATCATCTTCATAGCCTTTATGGTAGCTAACCTTATATGGTATCTTTAGATTGGATTCAATTTACAGATTATTCAAAATAAAAAAATAACATTATTTTATTCATTTAACTGGTGTTTAATTATTATCTATTTTTAACTAGTTTGTAAAATGGGAAGACCGGTAGTACTATCAACGGGAATGGCTAGCATGAATTGGGTCAAGTAAGTTATCATATCTTATTAGAAAGTTAAAAAGTTTTCATTACAGTTTTTTACTTTTTAATACACAGATAATTTTCTTGCATAACTAATGATTTGAATTTATAATTTTTTAAAGCTTTTTAATAAAAACAAATTACAGAATAATTGTGAAAGCAGCATTAGCCGCTCTGGGCTCTGGGGACAGTTCTGCTGAAAAATCAGCTGATGACAAGAAACCGGTTTCTACTGGTGTGTCTAGGCTTGTGCTCCTGCAATGTACAAGTAGCTACCCCTGTCTTGCAGCTGATACCAACCTTAGGGTCATCCTGACCTACAAGCAGATATTTCCAACTATACATATAGGATATTCAGGTCAATTTTATATAACTAATAGAAAATAAAGTTATAAACTTGTTCTGTAGGCGCCATGGAAAATTAAACCTCTGAAAAAAACTAATTTTTTACAGACTGTGAAGATAAAACTCTAGAAAGACAAACTCCTAATAGTACAAACCTGATAGCTCAGTGGAGGAAGCAGTCGGCGCATTGCGGTTGGCCAGGCCATGCCTTCGTGATGAAGTCGGTCCTCCCCCCCCCCCCTGGTTCACAACCTATGCTAGTTAGTTGCAGCTCTCGGTTAACCGGTCACCTAGTCTCAAAAACCCAAACTTAAACTAGAAGAATTACTGCAAATACTTTATTTTATTTTTCAGAGTTTATTCACATTAAGAATCCACCCTAAACTAAACTTTAGGTGAGTACTGCAGTGATCATGCAGTACTCAGCTATGGTTTCGAATTAATAGTTGGTTTTAGTAGAGAGTAAATTTTGTCTTCTAAGGGGTTTGTCTTTTCTGCTGTTTTTATATTAGGAGTTTGTATTGGGGCCCTTATTAAGTTTGTTTTGAAATTTTGAATGCATGTTTTTCTGAGTTTTAATGCTAATCAAATGGTTTAAAGATACTATAATTTTGTTATTTACATGTTTTGATTTTTGATTTTAGGAATAACTCCATCATTCATGAACTTTTAATGACCATGTTTTTCTTCAAATATTCTCATGAAATGATCTATGTTGACAATGCTAGAAAGATCTATTAAATAAATCACAATGATAAATTTGAAATTGGTGCAACAATGGATTCGTTCTGTAAAAAGTTAAGGCGAAACTTTTGAATCTTGAATCTATGTCTAAAGCGCTCAGCTGGGTTTTTCCCTCAAGGGCCTAACTTTAGACGCTGAATACTTCTTTAAATTCTTAAGCTTAATTATGTCTTTAGGATTAAAAGAAAGAGAAAGGAAATAAGTCTATGCAACAATCTCAAATTTTCAAATCCCTATATCTCAGATATTGCAATAAAGTATAAAAAGTCTACACCATCAGGTTGCAAAGATATAAGAATTAGAAAATTTGAGCTTGTGACAAAGACTAAGTTCATTTGCTTATTTTACTACCTCTAAACACAATTACAAAGCCTGGGAAGTGCCAATCAGAAGCCAGAAAATTTTGTGAGATGCAGATCAAATAATTTTTAGAAAAAGGTTTCAGTAATGCAATTTACTAATATGATATTCAGGGCATGAGATTGGGTTAGGCATCAGTTTAAAAGCTGCTTCTCTTGGAGCTGCTGTCATTGAGAGACATTTCACCTTGGATAAAACTCAAAAGGTTTAATACAGTGATAAACAGAAAACACTGAAATCTTTCAGACTCAAGTTATAACTTTAAATGAGCATGAGACACAGAAATTGTGCAGTGTAAACAGGCCTATTTCACTTTCTTAGTGATTTAAGTGTCTAGTTTAACTACTTGCTTTGTAACAGGATCAAATATACTTAAGTATTGCCATAAAGTCGGTTTTCTGGTTCTCACTGTTTATATATTGTCGGCACAAATTGAAAGGTCTTGAAATAATAAAGATGAAGTTTTTCTCATGACTTAAAACTGTTTGACTTTTTTTGTTGATTAATACTCAGTGTGAAAATTAATCGNATATTACTAGAACTGTTAGGTAAAATTAGCAGACTTATCGATTTTTGTAATAAAAGGTCGACTGTAAGTGTAATGTCAAGTGACCCTCCATGCAAAAATGGAAATGTCCGATTTACCCAATTTACCGTGATTTTAAAGTCTCAAGCTCTCTATCGATGATAGAGTTGCCAATTACTTCTTAAAACTAAAGCTAACAGCAAGTGCTTTAAAGTGCTAAAGTGTACATGTAAAGGGCTACAGAAAAGCATAAGTGAGTGAGAGCAGTTAAATCAAAGCCCAGGGCGCTGCGACGCTTCAAAGTACCCTTTACCCTGTAACAAGTATGTTTCCAAAGAAGATTTGGCGATTACAAATTGACGTGTTTGCCATCCCTCCCTCCATTGAGTTATCAGCTGATTAGTATTAAACGAGCTTTTTCATGCATGAAAATAGTGCAAAACCTTAAAGAAATTGTACTTAGAAGTGCTTCTGGCTCTACAGACTAATTAATATTTGTATTAAAAATAAAAATTCTGTTTGGATTATGCAGAATCATTTCTACTAAATCTGAAAGGTTTTACATCGGTATGTTTATGGATATCTATACTCGATATAAAGCAATAATTATCAATTATTATTTTGACTTAAACTCTTAACAAAGTGAATTCAGAAAAAATATGTCCGTTTAAGAAAGTTTTAATAAATATATGCAAATCACCCAGAACTAATAGTTTTCTGAAAATTTTTATATTTTTAGGTTTATGGGACGTTTTACAAAAAAACGCAAAACAAATATTTCTGACAACCCTATAGGCTTAGTACGTTAATATAATTCACCAAAACCATACTTCAGTCCTTCAAGTATAATACAGGAATTTTCATTTTTCTAGATATTTCTATATATTTCTAGATTTTTCTAGATATTTCTAGATATTTCTAGATATTTCTAGATATTTCTAGATATTTCTAGATTTTCTAGATATTTCTAGATATTTCTAGATATTTCTAGATATTTCTATACATTTCTAGATATTTCTAGATATTTCTAGATATCCCAGGGTAAGTTCTGACAAGTTCTTTGAGTCTCTCACTTTTTTAAAGTCACATAGTTAGTTTTGGTGGAAACCCTTTTTTCCTTTAATTTAATCGATTATACCTTATTGATAAAAAAGTTTACCATTTCCTTTAAACTCATGAGTTACCGTGAATTACGTTTTAAATATATTTTTTGTAGCTTCAGCAATTATTTGAAAATATTTGGAAAATATTTTTGAAAATCCGAACTTTTTTTAATAAAAATATTTTTGAATTTCCGAACTTTCCGAATAAAGAATTGGTGTCCTTACCCGATCAAGGAAAGGTATAAGCCGTTGAAATAATCAACTTTAAAGGGAGCGTTTACGAAAAATTAAAAGGGGTTGGGGCTAACGTCGACTCGAATTTGATGGTGATCGCTTGTAATCTTAATTCTATCTGTTGTGTCTATATGGAAAAAAGGGTTAAACACTACTCATACCGAAGAACGTAGGACCCATACAAATTCATGTGGTTGCATTATTTTATGCACTCAGATCCGAAGAAAATCAATCAATTTAGAATTGATTATTATAATATATTACATTATGTGTATGTTGAATTCAATTCGATGCATCGGTATATAGTTGATATTTCATAATATCTTTTCTTTTTTGTACACGATTTACTTTAAACGACGATTATTTGGCCGCTAGGCGTCTCTACCCTCGACGCTAAAGAGGTTTCACGTGGGAGAGACACCTATCGGCCAAAAAAATGGTCGTTTGAAGTACATCGCATAATAAAAGAATAAAAAATATTACCAACTTTATAGGAATGCATCGAAATATATTCAACATTTACAGGTTATAATATCTCAATGATAAGTTTTAAATTTAATTGAGCTATATCTGAGTGAAAAGGTACAACTTCGTGAATTTGTTTGGGTCCTCTTTCTTCTTTATAGGTAGCTTTAAACTCTTTTCTACTTACAGACGCAATAGATAGAAGTAAGATTAGTAGCGATCACCATAGAATTCGATTCGAAGTTAGTCTATATACATCCCTTTTATATTTCGCAAACACTCCCTTTAACCTGAAGTGAATTTTAATATTCCTAAATGTTCGATGTTCACCGATGCAAACCTGAAAATCTGTAAAAAGAACAGAAAATTGGCTTGGAAAGCATGATAAAACTTAGGGTTAAGGACGTCATAAAAAATGGTATTTTAAAAGTCTAAATTTTTTATTTCAGTGTATCATATACGGAGAAAGACAGATCTCATGCTACTAAGGTAATATTTTTCTAAAAAAAATCCTTTTTATTAGAGGATATAGGAATACGATCTAAAATTTACCTTTTTTAAGGACGTATATCTTTCAATCTCAGCCGAGAAGAGCAAAGCTACAGTATATTTTTATTCAAAAAGGAAAATGTCATATATTTTTTAACTCTATAATAATGTGTGAAAATAATTTTTTGTTTAATTTTCTAACATAGATTCATTTCGATATAAAAATGAAATCTAAACATAATGTAAAATGTAAAAATTTTTCCAGTTCTTTCATAGTTAAAAAATATTTACAGTAGTGAAAAACTATAATATAATATTCATTGTCCTTACAATAAATGTGGGAAATTGATTGTTTATTAAAAATGCAGGAACATAGTTCATCTTTTTTCTCTATGTTAAAAAAAAAAGATTATTTAATCTTGATTATCCATTAACGTTTATTAACTACAGTAATCAAAAGATTGACAGTTTTCATGTAAGATTAAAACCTATATTTTTCTAATATGATGTCTAGGACTATAAAATATGAACAATCCAGTTTTTGAAGTAAAAGCAACATTTTAGACTCGACTCAATCTTGAAAATTTATCCAACTTTTGATGGTGTTCTAGACCTAGATAAAAAGTGTTAATCTATTTATTATAAAAAAAACCGTAAGTTGTCTTTTCTCTTTTTGTAAAGAATAAGAAAACGTTCATGACATTATTTTTCATGCATAATGATTTTTAAAAATGTACTTAGTAAAGAGTTAAAAGCATACATTGCTCATACAACTAAACTATTTTTTATTTAAGATTTTCCAGAAGATACATATTCAATTTTATTACGATCTAATTTTCAGTTTTTCATTGTAGAATTTATGAATTGATTAAAATACATAAAAAATATATCTAAATCTCAAAAGAAGAGAAACATTTTAACATTCGCAACATTAACTGCGCCATTTTTAAATAATTCATTTTATTTATTCAAAGAAAATCTCTCTCTCTGTTAAAACTAGATTTAAATATGAAACATTTGAAATTCTGCAGATATCAATATGATAATGTATTAAATTACCAAATTTTCATCTGAAGTCAGAATTTTTGTGTTGTTAATCTCAGGATCAAGCTAATCCCCATCTTATTTAGATGTATGGAACAATTTAATTCCTCTTTGATATTCAGTGGTTGTCATATCCTACAAAGATAACTAAAATTAAGGGATGAAGCATTGATCCTTAAATTTAAAATGTCCACATTGGATGTGGACATCAACCGTTGATACTCTACGCAAAAGTTACTATTTCTGTTTAATTTTTCATCAATTTTAGGGAAATAGTGGCAAAAGAAGAACTTGAAGAAGCAGAGTCTTTTGATGGAGAAAAGCGATTTTTAGGTAAAATTAAAAAATCGCAAAGGAATGTTTGCAATTTTCTAAACCCAATTTGTAACCAAGTTTCGTAAACCTTAGATATTTCAAACTATAAATTTTGTCAACTTTATATATAAAGTTGTAATTTCTGTACGTCAGTGTGTTTGTATATCCGGTTATAACCATTTATAACTCATGAACCCTTTGACCAAATTGCCTCAACTAATCTAAGGTTAAAATATCAAAGGTTTACACCATCAGGTTGCATAGATTTAGGGATTAGAAAATTTAATTTAGTGACAAAGACTCAATTCCTTTTTTTAATAATTTATTTCGTACACATAACGGTACAATTGTTGTCGGATAGCAGCAAGATTCTCAATAATGAACAGTTAGACAACGGGGTAACCCACAAATCAAAACCGATAATGCAGAGAAACTCTTTATTTCCTAAAAAATGAAATGGATAATAACATATAAATTATTACAGTGTTTTATAATTTTACAATGAAAAGATTCTTACGATCTATTAGATGATAAGTAGGTTAAAACTAAAGTCCTAAAACGTTTTTATATATTGAAACTTCTGAAAAGAATGACAATTAATTATTAACGAAAGTCACTAATTCTTTATATGAAAATATTCTGTTCACAATAATAGAAGTGTTTATACTCCGTTACCGGAGAACAGAGAAAACGGGGCTAAAAATTATTTGGTTTGGTGTCTCCGAGAGGGGATTTTAAGTTAAAGACGACATTACACGGATGGACGGAGAAATCCTATGGTTAATAGTTGACAACAATAGAATAAATATAAGGATGTATGCAATTTAAGACAACAATTCATTTAAAAAAGAAATTTTTCAGAAAAATTTTCATCAGACACTTTTGCAAAAGTTAATTTACTTTTTACTTACAATTTTTTTAGATTACTTGGATTACAATTACAATTTTGTGCAATTTTCTAGATATTTTTGCCAATAAAGTTTCATTAAAATATTTGGATCAGAAAAGTAGAACTCTTGTATTTTTGAAAAAATCTTAATTCTACAATCCTGCAGTGATTGATTTTTATCTGACTGGAGCAGATTTCCAAGCTAGTTGTTTAATTTCATTTTACAAAAGGCAATGGTTAATTGTTAATTAGACGGACAGCATTCACATCAATAACAGTTTAGAGAATATTACACATTTCGTTTTTGATTTCCAGCATTAACATTTGTACTAAATTTCAAATCATACATACCCCAGGTCTATATCCCCATATACACACCATTTAACTGACAACCATGATGTTTGATGCACGTAAATGTTTTATAAGTTTATCAATGTAAATACAAAACAGGATTGGTGATGAACTTCGTTTTTTACTTGAAAACTATTAGAATCTGATGAACCCACATATCACAGTACATGTTTGAGTAAATAGAAATCAGACATTGTAAGAGAAGAGGACATATTCCTTTATCAATAAGCTCTGGGGATAATTTGTTCCGTGAAACTAAACCAAATGCTTTAGATAGATCCATTGCAGGGCTCAGTTTCATTTGCCATAATACTTTTGCCATAATTACACTTGCCATAATACCTTTGCCATAAGTAACACTTGCTATAAGTATACACTTGTCATAAGTTACACTTGCCATAAGTTATACTTGCCATAAGTTACACTTGCCATAAGTTACAATTGCCATAGTGGTTACACTTGCCATAATTATATTGCGGTTATTGTTTCAAGAATCATACATGTGAAAGATGTGAAAGTAGGTTGACGACTGGATGTCACAAATAAACTCAAAGTTCGAAGACGACATTTAATTCCTCTTACAACTGTCATGTTTCTTGGGACACCCTGTATAAGAAAAAAAACTAATTTAGATTGTGAACGAGCCTGTTACACGAAGCTTGGTAAAACACTTGTTACAAGTTCCGCTGTTAAAAACGGAGATATTCTTACACACTCCTCATATAAGGTAAGCTAAAAATCCATCAACGAAGTAAATTAAAACTTTTAAGTTTTCAGATTAAAAAGTATTTCATTCAACTAATCACTTCCAGGAAGAGAAAAACGAAACTTTAATTGAACTGAAATTTCTTTTGAAATAAAAATTTCAATAAAAATGTACTTAACGAGTTTCTTTAATCTTAAAATTTTGAATTTTAAAGGATTTTTAGGAAAGTTCTTTCAAATATAAGGATTCTTTTGTAAAACATTATTTTACGTGGGGTTTCGAGTTTTATGTAGGGTTTCCAATTTTCCCCGGATTGATTTGGATTCTTAAAGTGAGATGTTGATACTGAGCTGAAAACAATTTAGAATGAGATATCCTTAATCCCGATTACTTAATCTGAGTATCCAATTGACACACTTTTGATTTTCTTCTTAAACCGGATCTTTCTTGGATATAATAGAGAAAAATCAAAAACCGGTTTTTTAAAAATAAAGAGAGTCCCTCCCGTTTCTGTATATTAATCTTAAATGGCGCGCAAAATTTCAAATTTATCGGCTTCATATACGCGACTCTGATTGGTTGAATTTTAGACACTTTTCAGAATACAAGATTAGGTTAGTTCAATATTAAGGAAAAGAGAGGACCAAGCAGTAATCTCGATATCCACCATTCTAAAGTTTCCAGCTCTGGACGATTATTCTGTACACGGAATTGATCCGGCCAGAATAATCTTTCAGTATATTGTTTGTTTATTTACGCTATATCTGCCGGCCACTCAGTGTACTGCATACTATTTTAAGCTAGATTGGAATAATACTAAGAGTATATAAAATGTATCCATATTCTTTCAATTTAGGTAGATTTTTCGAACAAAACATTTTAGTAAAGATTTTTTAGATCAAGGTTACCCAGCCCCTTGGTATTGACCCCCGGGATATGCACAAGTATCTTGGAATGGTATTTAAAGGTACTTTAAAAGTTTTAATATAAAAAAAGAAAAATTTTATCAAGACCGTATGTCCCGCGCGCTGTAAGCTCTTTTTTTTAATGGAGTATTTTTGTTTATCATCTATAAGGTAATAGTTTAATCCGTTTTCAATGTACATACTGCACTCATTTTTAACAAAATGTAATTTTAATTTCGAAATGGTTTCAAGAAATGGGTTTTCTCTCTGCAATAAAGATTTGTAGCAGAAAAATAAAACAATTAACTGTTTTAGCAAACAACGAGGTTTTCGAACTTTTGACATAGTTTTACGCCAAACGGAAGCATCAAACTGCAACATGTTACTTTAACGACCCCTTCTAAAATTAAAAACTAAACAGTTAAGCACTTTTTGTTTCTCGCCTTCAGGGACAATGATGTATCTTTTTGTTTCGTAGTCACCATGAGCAAATATAAACAACAATTTTTAAAAAGTTCCGAAATATTTGCTAAAACCAAATTGTGTGTGCATAGATTGACCCATATGACTTCAAAATTCCAACTACAAAAAGAAATTGAAAATGTTAAATGTTAAATTAAGGAACTATGATAACACCGTGTACAGCCTCTTTTTAAACCGATTAAATATAGACATTTTATTATTTTTCCCGTCTGATTTCATAGTGAAATTCAACTTTTAAATAAATTAATTCTTAAAAAAATAAATTGAGAGAGAGACACGAAGAATTGTTTAAGATTATTTCACAAAGCAAGATCCACATTTTCATTTTGATCTTTATAAATAAACTACAAAAAACTTTTTCACACTTAATAATACCCATTACAATAACGTAAATAGATATTATTCTCATAAGTTCAAAGGACATATTTTCAAAACAGTTAAAGGGAGTGTTCGCGAAAAATTAAAGGGGGTATAGGCTTACGGTAAAAAATAATCGCTTTTGATCGCTGCTAATCTTACTTCTATCTGTTGCGTCTATAAGGAGAAGACTAGTAATCAGCTGATATTCATCTAATATAGACTAGTAATCAGCTGATATTCATCTAATATAGACTAGTATTCAGCTGATATTCATCTTGTACAGGCTAGTAATCAGCGGATATTCATCTGATATAGACTAGTAATCAGCTGATATTCATCTAATATAGACTAGTATTCAGCTGATATTCATCTAATATAGACTAGTATTCAGCTGATATTCATCTTGTACAAACTAGTAATCAGCTGATATTCATCTTGTATAGACGATAAATCAGCTGATTTTCATCTTGTATATGACGAGTAACCAGCAGATATTCATCTTGCACAGATAAGTAATCAGCTGATATTCATCTTGTACAGACAAGTAATCAGCTGATATTCATCTTGTACATATGAGTTAATATTCATCTTGTAAAGACAAGTAATCAGCTCGGAAATATATCTTTTACTGACAAGTAATCAGCTGATATTCATCTTGTGCAGACAAGGAAGCAGCTGATATTCATCTTGTGAAGACGAATAATCAGCTTATATTCATCTTGTACAGACAAGTAATCAGCTGATGTTCATCTTATGCAGAAAAGTAATGAGCTCGGAAATTCATCTTTTACAGACAAGTAATCTGCTGATATTCATCTTGTGCAGACGAATAATCAGCCTTTTTTCATCTTGTACAGACGAATAATCAGCTGATATTCATCTTGTACAGATAAGAAATCAGCTTATGTTCACCTTGTACAGAAGTAAGCAGCTATAATATTAATGTTGTATAGACGAGCGATCAGCTGATATTCATCTTGCACAGACAAGTAATCAGCTAAGATTCATCTTGTACAGACAAGTAAGCAGCTGATATTCATCTTTTATTGACGAATAATCAGCTGATATTCATCTTTTACAGACGAATAATCAGTTGATATTCATCTTGTAAAGACGAATAATTAGCGGATATTTATCTGCACAGATATGTAATCAGCTGATGTTCATCTTGTACAGACGAATAATCAGCTCATATTCATTTTGCATAGACAAATAATCAGCTTATATTCATCTTGTACAGACAAGTAAGCAGCTGATATTTATCTTGTTTTGCCGAATAATCAGCTAATATTCGTCTTGTAGAGACGAATAATCAGCTGATATGCATCTTGTATAGACGAATAATCAGCTGATATTCATCTTGTACAGACGAATAATCAGCTGATATTCATCTTGTACAGATAAATAATCAGCTGATGTTCATCTTGAACAGACGAATAACCGGCTGACATTCATCTTGTTACAGAAAGTAATTAACTTATATTCATCATTAAAACCAATCTGATTAATCAGCTAATAGTGATGTTGGAAACAATCTTATCAATATTAGAAACGATTTTTAATAATTATTAAGTTTCTTATTGTTCTCTCTGTAGATCAGATTTAAGATTTAAATCGTTCCATATTTTTTAATATGATCGGTTAGTTTTTATCAAACATAATATATTTAATTTTTGTTGGTTTAATTTTCATTCAAATAAAAAAATTTTGAACGTAAATGTTTAAAAAATTCAATTCAATTGTATCTAGAATATTTTTACCGTTTTGTTGTTAAACATTTAAGTCATTATTTTGATGATATTAACTTTGTTTTCGAAACTAGTCATTTTCTGTTTAGCTCAAATTTTATTATGCAGGGTGTCCCACGAAACATGACAGTAGCAAAACGGCTTGAAAGTCGTCTTAGATCTTGAGAATTATTGGGGACATTAAGTCGTCAACCTAATTTAACGTGTATGATTCTTGAAACAAAAATCACAAAATTATTCTATTCGATCCTGGCGTTTCCAAATTGTGGTCTGCTTTTTTGTGCTGTCAACATTACCGAATTGATATGAAGAATTTTGTTAAGATTTCAATTTTGTTAAAAAAAATAGCCGAAATCTGAACGAAATTCTTCATATCTCTGGTAATATTAAAAGTAAAAAAAAGGCAGACAACATTTTGGAAATAACAGGACTAGGGGTATTTTGTGATTTTTATGGCAAGAATTTTAAACTTCTTAAATTTGGTTGACAAATATAAATGTAGCAAATTATATCAAAAATCAAAGAACGTCATTCAAGTTGTCTTAAGCTAATGTCATGTTTCGTGGGACACTCTGTTATATCTATGAGTAAATTTTGTGAATAAAAATGAACAATAGTCATGTTTGGAAATTAAGCTTGAATTTAAAGATATATCTAAAGGCGAAAATGTTTTTATTTCCCAATTTCGCTGGAAACCCTAAGGATGACTTGGATACTTAAGGTACATCATACAGTCCAATTCGTCCAATTACCTCGCAAGTACTACTTTATCTCTCCTTCAAACAAAACTAGCAGAAAAAAACAGCAAACTAGTTTATTTTATGCTCTTCACTCTTCAGTTTCAGATTTGAAAAAGTGTAAAGAGCTCTGTCTATAGGGGGGCACTGTCCCTTACACCCCCCTCCTGTCCTGTATACGCCCTCGTGTGTCCCCCCCTTACTTTCGGGGAAAAGGAAGGAGCACGTACCCCTGTGCCCCCCCCGGCATGTTGGCATGCTTATTTCCTTATTCCCCCAATAAGCTATCTCGATATTCTATTTCTCTCTATCTATCTATCGATCTCCCTATGTATCTATCTATCAACAGAACTTTCTCAAATTTACCATCATCAGCTGATTCACAACAACTAAAGACGAACTGAGATTTCTTCGCAGTGAACAATGAACATCTTTTAAACTAAATTAATGTTACACAGTACACTGTGATTTAAGTTAGGGTCCGTCCTAGTGTACAATTCTTGAACCCCCCCCCCTCCTATCGATGTTGTACATGATTTTTAATCGTTATTTAGGTAGTTTTTTAAAAAAGACTGTAAAATTTTAGACAATGTTTTGATTATTATTTTTAGGGTTAGTTTAGGTTTTGACACTTTCTGGGCCGAGCGCTGCGGCAGGACAGGCTATGGGGCCGAGCTCTGTGGCAAGGACATGTTAGGGCCGGGGTCTGGCGTTGCGGCCACAAGACCAACTTTTTCCATGTGTATCTTTTTAAAACTACCTGTAAATTGATAAAAAATGTTGCACAAAATTGAAAGGAGGGGGGAGGGGGGGGGGTTCAAAAATCATATACTAGGAAATTACCTATAAATTAGTTAATTCTACGTGAACCTCGAAAGTTTTATTTCATTACAACGTAACCCTTAAATTCCAGAGTATTCACTATATTCATATTTGAATTTGGGCATTATTTTTAATTTTATTTATCTAATCTAATCATGAAAGTTTTATAAGCGTAATTCTATTTTGATTTAAAATCAAGATTCTTGAATAATGATAACTAATTCTTAGATATATTTACCCGATTCGTTAAACATTTTCTAGCTGTGATTTAGCTGCAATTTCCCAGGCTAGCTAGGCGAGGAAGTCACAGCTAAAGCATAGCTAGAAAATGTCTAACGAATCGGACAATTGACTCCAGAGGTGTATTCAGGGGGGGGGGGTATGGGGGCTAAGTCCCCCCTGGCCCAGTGAAATCTATTGATTTCAGGGGGTTTACAGGCTCCAACGGGTGCTGAGACCCCCCCCCCCCCGTAAAGAGAAAAGAAATTAAGCCCCCCCTGGACAAATTCTTGAATACGCCCCTGATTGACTCATTTCAGTGGCGTTTACAGGGGGAGGGGGACTATGGACCAGGGTGGCTCAGCCCCGCTGGATGAGTGATCAACCCATGATTTCCAGGGGGGTTTTCATGGTCATCATAGGCTATCGCGGTATTAAACCTAAGTATCCGGTCACTCAGACTCGTACTTACAACAGAGACCGCGATTTTTAAACGGTTTAATATTGTTTTTGGTGGATTTTCCTAGTAGGAGTTGGCGCATTCCGGGTTATAATGAGAACAAACTCAACATTGTGCAGCCTTTTCCACCAAAACAACCAAAGTCGGTTTTATTTTCACTAGACCTATACTCCGTAAGTCCCGTAAGTTGAGCCTAAGATCTCATAGCTGTCAATCACACAATTTTTCCGAAGGGTGGGGGCTATATTTTTCTTTTTCCAAGAAATCATAGATTTTACTAATCTAGAGGGACTGGGCTTGGGGGCCCAGTCCCTCTAGATTAGTAAAATCTATGATTTACCGAGTAACAGATCTAATATTACACTCTGAAAAATAATAAGTCTGGGACGAGTAAAAATGTCCGAAAAAATAAATGTATATTTTCTTGAAAATCATCCCCCCCCCTCCCCCTTATGAAATTAATCTCCCCCTCTTCCCAGTAGTTATATATATGCCTTTTTAGGGTTGTATTCGCTGAATTTGGGAAAATAATTTTCAGGGGGAAAATCAATGAATTTTGGGTAAAAAGTATCAAATTGTTTTTGTTCTTCACCAAATCATCTAAAATCTATTACTAATAAAGAAATTCAGAAAAAATTAAATATTCACTCATTAATAAAAAGATAAAAATATGCCCTTTTTCCCCCTTAAGAAAATATACATATTTTGACTCAAGAAAATAGAGATATTTTTCTAATTTTCTAAAATATATGTAACGTTTTCGCTATAAATGAATATACAATATACACGCATTTTTTTAAAGTTAAATATTTTTAGCTATAGATATTTAACCCTATCCCGATTGGGGTATTTTTGTCTAATATAGATTGGGGGAGGGGGTGTTTCCCCCTATGATTTTGTCCTTTGAGTTGTAATAGGGGAGTATGATCATACATGTTCCTAGTCCAACTTTTCAAGGCCTGCTCATTAAAAAAATTAAACCTCCATCTTTAATGGTTAGAGTGCAAGGTAGGATTTTAAAATAGTTAAAAAAGTAGGTAGGAAAAATTTTAAAATATAAAATTTAGCTCTGTAGCTTATTTAATAAAAAATTTATTAACCATTTCTGATTTTTTTGAATCACTGACCCGCCGTTTGACTGTCCTCCACCCTACACTATGCATACAAAAATTGTTCACTATTATGAAGTTGAAAAAGTAAAGAAGTTTTAGCTTTCTAATGTCAGCAGTTTTTAATTTATTTAGAAAAAACCACATGGGGGGGGGGAGGTAGGAAAACTCCCCCATCCCCAATCGTGATAGAGTTTATTAAAAGTAAAAACATTGCTATAGATATTTGCTCTGTTAATTTGTTAATTGTTTTGCACTGATATATTCGTGGAAAATAATAATGATATCTTTCATAAAGCGTGCAGTTTAGTTAAGTGCTTCTCTCCCACAGGTTAAACAAATATTTTTATGGGACTTTCTTTGAGGAAGCCAGGGTAAAATAGATCGTAGATGTAGATTGTAAAATTATGATTATAAATTCTCTAGGCAGGCCTGAACTGCGGTTGCCTAAGAATTAATGAATTGATAAAGAAAGAAAATATCTGGATAAAATGAGATAAGAAAATCCGACCCCATTTCCGTTCTTTATTCGTTTCTACCAAACAGATTGCGGGTCTCTACTTGTTTTTCTTTGCGCATTTTGTAAACAAAGGAAATTATTGAGAAAGCTCAAAAGTTGGCAAGCTGCTGAGTTATCATGGGGTTAGCTTTATGTTAGTTAATACGTAGATTTGATACGACGAGCTTTAAATCACAAGATAGACAACACAAAGAAGGCCTCACAATACAAGATTCAATTATCAGGCCTGGCTGGAAAATCATTTAAATTTATTATTAAATTATTCAGACAGATATATTTTATCAATGAAACTCATGGTTTTTAAAAAAAGTTAATTTTTGGATTACTCCAAGGAGCCCTAAAGAGCCGTAGTAGGAGTTACAGTAGTTAACATAATAATTCTGCATTAGAAGTTTTTTTTTTGTGATTCTTCTGATAGTAGAAATAAGGCAGATTTAATGCATGTATATATTAAAATAATATAAAATGTGGGTTCTGTTTTATTAAAATTTATTTTTGTTTTTTATTTCATCACATTTTTTGTTTAATTGATTAAATTCTTAAAATTTTTTTATATTTTATTTTTATTCCCTTGTCTTTTTCCTTTTTTCATTCTTTGACATTTTTTTCTTTTTTTGCCATATTCCATCTATTATACATAAGCATTTAAAAACCGTTACTGTCGTCATTATAATAAAAACATACAAATCATAAAATTTTTGGTTAAGTTTGAATAAAGTATAAAATATCTTTGTTTAAAACTGATAACAGAGCTTGAATCTTTAATTCTAGAAGGAAGATTTTGCCACTTAGAAATCACTTTCCTTATATCACTGATTACTCTATTTTTATCAAAGGCTTGTTTCAATTTCATTATTTCATATTTCCCGTTTTAAGTTTATAAATAAAATCTAAAAATTGACACAAATTTAAAAAAATTATATATGGAAAAAAGTATGAAAATTGAATATTTTCTTTCAATGGACAAAGAAAGATATTTGAAAACTTTTTATTTTCCTCTTTTTTGGCCCAGAAATACAGTTTTATCCCTGATGTTAAACGTGTACACGTTTTGTTGGTATTATTATAAACCAAATTACCTCTTGGATTTAAGGTTTGTTAAGATCTAAATCCCAGAATTTTGACTAGGATAAAGTCACGTTGTAAACAGCACTCAATTAGTTAAACATTTACAAGATTAATATTGTTAATAAGAAATAATATTTAATAATTTTCTTTTTAAACTTTTTTTCTGAGAATTTTTCTGGAAATTGACTTTCTTCCGGACTAGGAGTTTTTAAAAATATTTTCTGACCTCTTAGAGTTTGTTAGCGTAGAGGGTGGTTATGAGCCTGCCCTTGGACGATATAGATCCTGATCGTTTAGAGGATTTTTCAGAACGTTTACTCTACACTGCAGTGTAAGTATGGATCAGTGCTTAGGATCCGGATTCGTTGGATCCTCAATTTTTGACTTCCCGGATGATCCGCAAAACTATGCGGATCCACGGATCCGGATCCAAGGGTCAAAATATTAACAAATAAATGCAAAAAAAAATCTTTTGCTCTCCAAGCCCAAGTCTGAACTGTTAAAGAGAGATTATCGAAAATTTCCTAAAAAGAGTTATCAAGTTCTAGCATAAAACAAGCGAAAAAAGGAGAACAAATTATGTTAGAATTCTTTTTTAGCTTAAAAATTCAGTAAATCTCAGAGAAATGTTCATGACCTGCATCCGGATTCTAATTCGGATCCGGATCCATTTTTTTTCAGTGCGGATCCATGATCCGGATCCTCATCAAAGTCAAATGGATCCTAAGCACCAGTGCTAAGGATCCGGATCCGTTGGATTCACAAGATTTTGGCTTTTTGGATTTGGATCCTGATCCGGACCAAGGGGCAAAATATCAACATAAAACTGAAGAAAGAAAAATGTTACACCAAATTTGTTCAATTGAAAAAAGAGATATTATAAAATTTCCTGATTTCTGACTGGTTCACAAAGTTTTAGCATAAAAATAAGCAAAAAAATAAGACAACAAATTTGAAAAATTTGCTTTGTTAAAAAATTCAGTAAATTTTGTGGAAATAACATGGATACAGATACATTTTTTTCCAGTACGGATCCAGGATCCGAATCAGGATCCGTATCAAAATTAAATGGATCCTAAGAACTGCTAAGCCCTGGATAGTGTATAAGATGAATAAAAATGCAGGAGTGTATATTAGTTTTGAGACTCATATTTTTGCCCCCCCCCCTCTTTTTAGAATCAGATTTTTTCTCCAAGACAACGACTTAAAAACATGTTTTTTACAGGAGAAAATATTTGGATTTTAGTTGGATAAATAATGAATGGGATAATGGTGCCTTTTGGTGCACTAAAAAGGTTAATCACCACAAACCCCTAAGATTTCTTTTTTTCAGTCATGATTCATGAATGTGCACAGTAACAAACTAGCTTTTAAAAGGGAAAAACATAACATTGCTATTTAGATTCCCCCCCCCCCACATTGGTTTTGCTTAGGTTCCTGTGTCAATTCGTAAACTAGCAGATCAAAAATAAATTCCTCTGGTTTAAACATCTTAAACTGTTTTTTTAAATCCCAATATTTTCGCAATTCCCAAAGTCGTAAATCCAAGATATTTCAGACTAAGAATTCTGTTAGATCAAATAGTATAAGTTTGAAACATTAAAGGTTTCCGATATTAAGTTGCAAAGATCTATATGGATTAGAAAATTTGAGTTTGTGGCTAATTCCGCTAATACTGAACTCCATTTTCTAATTTTTTATTTTTTTTTTGGAATTAGAACATATCCGGGTTTAACATCTTACAATTATTATCTTTTTCCTTATTGCTACAATTCATAAAATTGTTTGGAATATTTTAATTTTTAACCGAAAAAATATTCCGCCAAGAAATATTCTAAATAACATATTCATTCCATTTTTAATGACAGTTTTGTTCGATTTTTTGCGCCTCATTCGTATCTTACAAATTACATTAAAAAAAAATTTTCCGGAAAACTGTGAATTTTTTGTTCGTTTTAATTTTTCTCGATGGATTTCAGAAGAGCAATTCTAAGACATTTGAATATGGACGGGACTGATTTGGATGAGGTGGATGTTGAGGTTGGGGAAGGGATGGAGGAAGATAAGTACGGAGATATGGAGTGGATGGATTTGAAGGGAAACAAGCCACTCAACACTCCAGAGGATTGTCTGGAATATTGGAATTCCTGTTTTAAAAAGGTTTGCAACTTAATCTAATATATACTTGCTTAAGTACCCGACGTCGCCCGTGGAAGTAAAAAAAAAATCGAATTTTGTTAGCAAAAATTTTTTAATTGAAGAAAAAAACGAATTTTTAGCCTGTTTACCCCCAGGGTAATCATGGGTTTCCTAAATAAAATTTAGCAAATTCGGTCCAGCTTTTTGGCCAACAATAGCTAACATATACAAAAAAACATATATAAGCGAAGAGCTTTATTATGTAGATTTTAAACAATGATAATTGTGGCTTCAGATACTCTTAAAAATTTATAAACTGTTAACCAGTGCTTTATTGAGTATTTATTTTATCTAAAAATTTCCCCCCCCCCCCACTTTTAACATTTATTTTTTCCCCAGTATTTCTGGATTATTTGTGCTTAATTTGTGAAAAAAAATGAAGTTTTAACTAAAAAATATTAAGAAGGGAATAAATTGCCAAATAATGTCGTTCGATGTCAAAATTTTCATTTTCCCCGAGATCATCAAAATTTCATTGAAGTCTGACATGTTTTTAGTCACAGCTCTTTTTTTTGAAGAAGTATAGAGAAACATAGCACTCGGCCTCTCATAGTTCATTGCTAACAATCTAAAATAATTCTTAGTCCTAAACCGTCCATGAACTATCAGAAGCCGAACGATCATTTTGAAGAAGAGGACATTAAAAGGTAATAATTATACCAAGGAGTATGGATAGAGGAGAGAAACAACTGACGCGGCCTGCCCTACCATATGATTAGACATGCTTTGCAGACGGTACTTCATTTGAATAGAATTTATTTGTCTGATGTACAATTATACTGCGTATACAATAACCTATTCTGAATATTTCTTTATACAGATGAAGTACCGTATAATTAATGGTAGGGCGGGCCGCGTCAGTTGTATCTCCCTTCTATTACATACTCCTTGGCATATGCTCAATTAGAAACCCAAATTATTAACAGAAAGAAATAAGAATTATTTAATTACACTTTCACTTTATAGCACTTTCTGAGACAAAAAATGTTACAGAATATTCGATGGTGTACATGACAAATAATGAAGAAAAATAAAAGAATTTTCGGAAAATAGCAGCAATTCCATTTAATACTTAATATTGGATTGATACATTTTTTATTAATATTCTTTAATTATTTTCTAGAAAGATGGATTATCTTTCTTTTAGAAGTATTAGTTTCTCTAAAAAGTTTAAAGGGACTGAAAGCGTAATTTCAAGACCCTCCATGCAAAGATGGCAATGTCAAATTTACATCGGTACCCTTAAAAGCCTAGTTTAATAAGTAGGAATTTTATATTAATGTTTATGATTGTAAAAACTGATTATTTTCAATTATGGGTTCTCTTCAAATGTGACTTGCGCATTTCTACAGCAGGAAAACCTATAGGAATTATCTGAAGCTAACACTTTTAACTCTAGATCAGATTAAGATGTTAAAGGTACCGAATCTAGCATTGGCATAGTTACATTGAGGATCACTTGAATTTGCGCTTACAGTCCCTTTAAGTATAAATATTCTTTGTTTAGAAATTTTTTTGATGTTCTTGAGCAGTTCCTTTGTGATGGAGATCCTTCAGTTGTTTTCAAACAGCTGGCAGCTCTAGACGATCCACCAGCACAGTGTGGAAAGGTGAGGGGATGCGAAAGGAGGGGGGAGGTGGTTTATAATCATATTACTTTAGCACTTTTCTTTGTAAAAAAAAGAAAGGGATAAAGTCTTTTTTTAATAATGAAATTATTAATCGTTATTTGCACTACTTGCATGTAGATTTATCACTAAATGCACTCATGGCGTCTTCAATAATGCATTTTTTCGAAAACAATGATGAACGAAATATAATAAAAATAAATATGATGGAACAAACAAATGTTAGGACTGTTAAAAAACAGAACTTGGAAGATAAAATGCGGGAAGAAACTCACAAAAATCTGCAGATCTCAGGGAGTTGATTGGTGGACTGATTGATAACTAATATTTTATGTATTGATTGATTGATGGTGGATAGATTATTGGATAATTGATTGATTTCTAGGTGTTTAAGATGGGTGAGCCCTCTTACAGTTGCCGGGACTGTGCCCTAGATTCTACATGTGTTCTCTGCGTAGAGTGCTTTAAGGTAAATTATCAGGGATATATTTATTGGAGTTTATTTGATTATTTTGTGAAAATCAATGAATTTCCAGGGAAACGTTCGTTTTTTTAAGCTTAATATAATTTACAACGTTTAAAAACTTTTTGTTAAAGTTTGATTTTATTAAACTTTCAATATTTTTATCCTAAGATAAAAAAATAAAAAACGTAGCAATAAATCGTTTGTTTTAACAAGTTCGTTTGTGGTTCGTTAATAGTTCGTTTTTGCAGAGATTTTTTTCCCCGGGTCAAAAGGCGTTGTGTAACAACTAAAAGTCTAGCAAATTTTAAGAAAAAACAGTTTTGAAATTTGCTAACTTCTTAGATTTATGTGGAACCTTTTAAAAGGTTAAAAACCTCAAAAACTATCAACAACAATAAAACCAATTTGTTCTACAATACTAATAAAGCTTTCAATTTCAAGTAAATTTTATTTTCAAATATTTTTAAATTAATGTTTTGAGTTGGGATTTGGAAAACCTTGGGAATTTTTCCGATTATGTCAAAAAACTATTTTTAAATTGAAAATTGACGTCGTTATTTCAATGAAAACAACCCCTAAAAAAATTTAGAATTCTAAGCATGGTACTTAACTTATTTTAGAATGGAACAGACACCCTTTTATTTAGAATTCTGAGCATGGTACTCATCGATACAAGATGAGCACTAGCTCCGGGGGAGGGTATTGTGACTGTGGAGATGTAGAAGCTTGGAAGCAGTATCCCAGCTGTTCTACGCATGCGCTTGGGAACCAGGTACAAGCCCCTAGCAGCAGTTCTATGCATGCGCTAGGCAACCAGGTAAACCCCCTAGCAGCTTTTCTCTGCATACACTTGGCAACCAGGTACAAGCCCTCAGCAGCTGTTCTATGCATGCGCTTGGGAACCAGGTACAAGCCTTGATAAGCTGTTCTACAAATGCACTTGGGAACCAGGTACAAGGCCCTAGCTGCTGTTCTACACATGCGCTTGGAAACCAGGTATACAAGCCGCTCGCAGCTGTTCTACAAATGCGCTTTGAAACCAGGTACAAGTCCCTAGCTGCTGTTTTCTACACATGCACTTTGAAACCAGGTATAATCCTTCTTCATTATTTTTGAAAAGAAATCACAAAAAGAAAACATATTTATTAGGTATTGAAGCCATATTAAGTTTTATGTAAATATTCTTGTTTTTAGTGAAATTTAATCTCTGCTACTTATTTAACTTATTCAGTGTAGTGTAGTTATCCGAGCTGACCGGACGTGTCTTTGTGAGCTCCCGGATTAAACTGACCGACAACCCAACACCGGGTTAACTTATTCACATGCTCCATATTATGTGAAAACACAAACACTCAGATAACTTGTTTAGTGCATTTATTTCCAGTAAAAAATATTTCTACTAGACTCAAAATATGATAAAATAGGAAAATTATATTAAAAAAAAAATTCTGAATTCTGAAAATTAGGAATTTACTACATAAAAGAATGTTTTCTTTACCAAATTTCGTAATTTAAACAAATATTTTACGTGACATGTTTCAATGATACGTTATTACTCTGACATTACCATCTTTGAGTGGAGGGTCACTTGAAATTCCGCTTTAATGTCTTCTGTTTAGTTTGACGGAGGAAATGCTTTGGATAAATTGCCCTTGGAGATAGTTCTACGTGCTCGTCAGGTCTTCACATGCGTTCTCAAATACGCTTACGAGCTTCTCACCCTCGACACTATGATGAAGGTAACAGCCAGTACTTAGGATCCGGTTCCGTTGGATCCACCACGGTGGACCAGGGTCAATTTGAATTTGAACCGGACTGACCCCTTGTCGACTCAGTAACGCGCGTCAAATACCGCCCCGCCCGTATCCTATGTCGGCCCGGTTTAAATTTTGATGGCGCGGCCAGACTTTTACAGTACCCGACCAAGCATAGGCCTTATTTACCAACCCTACTTGCTGAGTTTAGATTCAGAATCTGGTTTTGGATCCACTTTTTACAGGGCGGATCCTGGATACGAATCCGCGCGCATGAGCTCAATGGGGTTTGATTCAACAACAACGCATTTTCAGGGGAAAATATAAAAATTACGATTTTTGCAACAGTGCATTTTCAGGGGGAAAATATTAAAATAATACATGTAGTTAATCTGCGTCTGACAAATTCATTTCAGTTGCGTTAATATTTTTGAAAATCTTGGAATATACATTGTTCTGCATATTTAAATGATACTTAACGTACAACATTAGTTAAAATCAATTAAATAAATTTTCAAAATTTACTAAAAAATGGTTTTCCTTCAGCTGCCCGGAGATCTTCAGTACAAGGAAAGAGATAATATTGATCCTATGGATGATCTTCTAGAAGTTGAAGATCTTTATGCTACAGTTCTCTATAATGACGAGGTGATAATTTATTTATTGTTTGGTTTGATCAATGCACGGATTGATTAATGTGAGGTTTGATGAATATTGAATAAATGGCTTGATAAAACAATTGATTTGAATATTGACGGGTAAAACCAGAATTGATTGAAAGACTGATCGAAAGGTTTAAGAATTGATTGTGTTCAGGTTCATACTTTCGAGGAAGTGATTACAACGCTGCAAAGAGCTGTGGAATGTGATAGAAATCAGGTGGGGGAGGTATAAGGGAACGGGGGGAGGGGGGGGGATTGAAGTCTTAAATAGACCGTGGGAGTTGTTGAAAGATTTAAGTTCATCCAGAAATAGATTTTATTTCGGTTTGATTCCATTCAATTCAATTTTTATCAAGCAAGATTCAGACACATTTAATTGATATCATTTATGCTAAACAGTAAAAAATGTGAATTCTGTGAAGAATACTTATGATTATAATTTAGGCTGTGAGTTTTGTTT